TGCCTTACGTGAGTCGGCAAATTAGTTCGCAAAAAATGGAAGCTGCAAAGATATTGGTTCAGCCGTTATGCGGAAAAAAGTGATTGGGCCTATTTGGAAAATATAGAATTAAGTTCGTATTAAATTATCACGAAAACGCTTTAGAAGTCGTGGAAGGAAAACTGAAGAAGCCAGAGGAGCTGATCATGCGGCCGCCGAAGAGATTCGAAAGAGATTTTAGAGATGATATGAAGGTTTTTAATAAAAAGCAAATAATTGCGCTATGATGGATTTTTACGAACTTTAGATCAGGAAGCATTGATAGCAAATTCAAAATCTAAACAGAAATCAGCTATTAACAAGAAAAACAATGGCAAGTGCAAATATTGCCAACAGAAGAGGACATCTGGGTCAGAACATGCAAGAAATGGATAGCTGATGGAAAAACCGCCGAAACCTAGTCCACATATAGGGCCAAACAAGGGAAAGTAAAAAACAGTGTTGCTGCAAATATGACACTTCTAGCTGTAGATGATACAATATTTTTCTGCAGAAACGAATTCTGATGATTTGGTTTATTGATAATGGGGCCTCGAAGCATGTCGTCAATAACAGGCACTACTTTATAGACTTTGAAAAATTTGAAGCTTCCTCCATAGCATCACTGTGGCAAAATATGGAAAAGTCATTACCAGCAATTGGAAAAGGCACCATCAAGATAATGACCATTGTAAATGGGATGAATCAAATCAAAAATCTTGAAAATGTCTGGTATGTTCCAGAAATAAGTAAAAATCTATTTTCCGTGTTAGCATCTCAAGATAGAAATCCAAAACAGTGTGTTTGAATCAACATTAAGGACTGCTATTTAAAAATAGATGGTGAAATAGTTCTGCATGGAACAAGAAATGCTGGTGGGGGTCTCTTCAAAGCCGTGATGGAAGACCTTAGTTCCTGAAACTCACATTGACATCAACATGACTGAGAATAATGAATCAACTCTCCAACTTTATCATGAACGATGGGGTCACCAAGATAAAAGGAACATGTAAAGGCCATTGTAGAGAAAGAGTTGAATATTAAGATTAAGTCCTGATATGAAATTATGTGAAGCCCTTGTGTATACGGAAAAGCCCACCGTTTAAAGTTTGGAACCAGGAAAGCGGTTACAAAAGCTGGAGAATTGTTCTCGACAGATATTTGTGGGCCATTTGATCAGTCATTTAGGAAATATCCGTTTACTTTGCAATCTTCAAAGATGCCTACACCAAATTTCGATACTGTTTTTTTTTTAAAGCACAAATCAGAAGTAAAAGATGTGCTTGAAAATTTCATAGCTCACGCTAAGAACTTAGGGCATAAAGGTTAAAGAAATGCTCAGTGACAATGGTGGAGAATTTGACAACCAAGCTTTCAAAGCCGTTCAAAAGATCTTGAACAAGTATGGAATCTCCCAGAGGCTCACAGCTCCATATACACCAGAACAAAATGGCAGTGCTGAACGAGAGAACAGAACAGTCCTAGAAATGGCCAGAACTCTCAAATACTCGAATGAGGAAGTGGACTTTCCAGCTTTCCTATGGGCAGAGTTCGTCAGTACTTCAATTTATATATTGAATAGGACAGGCAAGTCTTCAGTTCCTAATTCAAGCCCTTATGAATTATGGATGGGAAAGAAACCCAGAATAAAACACATGCGCATCATTGGATCGACTTGCTATACTCATATCCCAGTTTCAGAAGAGGAGAAAGATGGACAAAAGGGCAACTAAAGGCTATCTCCTTGGGTATGATGGAGATGAAAGGTACCACATTTACATCAAAGAAACCAGTACAGTAATCTGTTCCCGAGAGATGTCATATTTGAAGAGAAAACCTTCCATGACTGGAAACATTATAACATTGCACCCACAACAAGTTTCTGGAAGAAACCTTTCTCAAGATGATGAAGTTGAAAATAAAGTAATAGACGAAGGCCCTCAACAGGAAAAGAAGGAGGTGGAGGATATACCAGAAAAGGAAGACTCGACCCAGAAGACAAATTTCAGGGCCTAAGTGGACAAAGGATTATATCATGAAAAATTCAGAGATTTATGAAGAAAATCCTCCAGAAATAAAGGGAATTACAAGTGGAATGCAGTGCAGCTGATAATCCGAGAAACAGAAATATGAAGGCTCAACACCCAAGAAAGCTTTCCAGAATGATCCTGAAACTTTAGAAGAGGCATTAACTAGTCCTGATGCAGAAAAATGGAAGTTAGCCATGGAAGAAGAGTTGGAAAATTTAAAACGAAATGAAACTTGGGACATAGTGCCTAGGCCAGAAAGGGAAAGGAAAGTTGTGAAATGTAAGTGGGTCTTCAAGAGAAAACTTAACAAAGATGGACAAGTGGAAAGATATAAAGCTCGTTTAGTTGCTCGTGGCTACACCCAAGTCGAAGGAATTGACTACAAAGAGACGTTTTCTCCTGTAATAAAAACAAAATCAATTAGAACTTTATTAGCATTCTCAGTTGAGCAAGACTGGCAGGTTCATCAACTGGATATTACTGCAGCCTATTTAAATGGAAAATTGAGTGAGACAATTTTCATGGAACAGCCACCAGTGAGTCTGCATGAGAAAACACATAGAGACGTTTGCTTGCTAAAGAGAAGCCTTTATGGACTTCATCAGTCTGGGAGAGAGTGGAATATCTGCCTCGATAAATTTCTGAAATCAGCGAGCCTAACAAGATCCAGAGCAGATCCTTGTGTTTACTTCAATAAAGAAAAGGAGTTAATTGTAGGTGTGTATGTGGATGATCTTCTTGTAATGTCCAGCAAAGATTTCATCATTCAGGAATTTAAGGACAATATTGCAGCCACATTTAAAATCAAGGACTTGGGAGAAATACATCACCTTCTTTCAATTAGGATAAGCAGAAGGGAAGATAGCTGTGTGACTCTTGACCAAAGTGTCTATGCTAGTGAACTCTTGGAAACAACCAATATGCAAGATGCTAAAGGAGCATCAACACCATTAGATCCAGGTATGAAATATACAACAGCCACTAAGGATAACATGTTGAATGCTGAAGGAGCATTAAAATATAGGCAGGCTGTTGGAGGGCTCTTGTACCTAGCAGGAGGAACAAGGCCAGATTTAGCTTTTGCTACTACTTACATGAGCCAATTCAATAATTGCCCAAGCAAGGAAAGATTGGGCTGGTGTAACAACATATCCTTCGTTACCTAAAACAGACCAAGGAATTAAAGCTGACTTTCCAAAAGACAGGAAAGAATTTGGAAGTGTTTTGTGATTCTGATTGGGCTGGTGATAAGATTGACAGACGATCATTTAGTGGCTATGTGGTGCTACTAGCAGGTGGAGCTGTCTCATGGAGCAGTAAGAAACAACAGACGACCGCATTGTCAACAGTTGAAGCTGAGTACCTCTCAATGTGCCACGCAGCCAAGGAAGTACTGTGGTTCCAGTTTTTTAAAGAAATTGTGGGAGAACATTTTTTAAACTTTCCACAAAACATATTTGTTGATAATCAGGGTGCCATTTCATTAGCCAAAAACCATGTCACTTCAGAGAGTAACAAACATATTGAACTCAGGCATTTTTTCTTGAGAGAAAAGGTTGAAGAGAAGTTGTTAAACTTTACGTATGTGCCTTCCAGTTCAAATGCAGCAGACATGTTCACAAAGAGTGTGCAAAAGAAAGCATTGTTCAATCAAAGGTTCTGTGTAGGACTGAGGGAAATTTAATCAAGGGGGAGTGTTGCAAATAACTTTTATTTGTGATTATATTTCCCATTTGTATTTTACAACATGTGTGGCAACACGCTTTTTATATTTTTCTCTTGGCAACTTTTTTTTTAGTTGTTGTCACTGTTTTACTTTACCATGTAGAATTTACTGTACTTGCGGCATTTTGTGTTTCAATATATGTTAATTTAGATGAATCTCTGCTTATTTATTTGTCTCCATTCCTAACTTTAGACTTCATCAGAAAGAAATGTTTAATAGAGTAAAATAAATATTAAGCTCTTTTTGTAAATTTTGATACCCTTTAGATCATAATTGCTCTTTATTTCATAAATTACGGTTTCATATTTTTAATTTTATAATTTCTGCATGCCATCTTACCAGATTTAAACTGATCATCTATAATCCGGAAAAACCGATAATCCGGAACCGCCGAAGTCCCGACGAGTCCGGATTAAAGACTTTTGACTGTACTATAAAGTCACTACCGTGGAACGTGCACAACCAGGGTATCAATTTTAATACTTTGAGAGACACAAAATTTGCCCACTCTCATGAATTCATTGCATATCCTGTAGAATATGCTTTTGACATATGATTGGAGGCTTTTCTTTCCTTAAAAGTCTCAATCTCTGAGCAAGGCTTGAGTGCAAGGGAAAGACAGGCCTGCACTCAGAAGTTAGAATTGATTTTTCAGGCATATTATTATTAAAACAAAATTTATTTTCTAAAATTGGGGTTCTACTTACTTAAAAGAAGTGCCGGAGCTTTTTCACTCAGGGCTCCGGTGCTCTCTGACTGAAATTATAATTTATCTCGAGAACTGAGAACTACCGGAGCCGGACTCCGAAGCAAATTTAAGCTTGGGCCTGAAGAATGCATATTAGCAGATGTGGAAGTTAACAGATGAGGAATTGCTATTAGTAAGAGAATGGTTCACTGAATATGAAGAATGTTGGCAAGCTGTCCAGCTATTCAATAAATTATCCCTAGAATTTTTGTCAACTTTAAGATGGATTTCCTATTTCAAAAATTCCACATGCATTTTTGTTTAATGAGAATAAATAATATTTCTGTCTTCACAGCATCTAGGCTGCTAAAGCCCTGTGCTCTACGTTCTAGCAAAATATTACCCATGAATTTTAATATGCTAATTAACAGTGGGTTTAATAAGGAAAGAAGCAAGCAAAGATAGCGTGCTATTATTACTCATAATGACGGAAATACCTCATGGACTGGAGGAAACGGCGTTCGCCAAAGTCTTCATCTCCTTTCTTCTTGCTTAAAAGCAAGATTGCTACCAAAGAATGCTATTACTCGTAATGACACTTCAACTACTACAGCATGGTGGTTGCTAAGACAACGCGCCATAGTTTGTTATGATATATTCCTCGTATCACGTCCATTAACATGCAAACTCTAAATCCATCCTCATTCGAAGATGATGATTTATATTCTGGTTACAATGAATTTCATCCATCTCTGGATATTGCAGTTAGTATAACTGTTGTAAATTTAGATAATTGTTGATTTCATAAGTAAGAAAGTATTTGTAATTGGGTTTTTATCAAAAGATAACTTTTTCAATTCATCTTAAAACTGAGCATGATTTAAAACAATATAAGTAATGTTTCTAGTAACTTTTAGTCAAAAGATTCCATGTTTTTCTTGATATTATTTTATTAAAATGTTTAGGAATGATTCTATTTCTGATTATCTTTGTGAACTGTTAAGATACAGACTTCTATGAAGTGGTAACAGTGTGATGCCAGATTTGTTGACGTGATGTCATTTTATTTAGTGGCATTTAATTTCCTAATATTATTTTATTTATTTTGTTATTTATTTATTTATTTATTTTGCTTTTTTACAGAAGAAATTAAATATTCCCCTTTAATTAGTGCCACATAAAAAGCTAGTCTGTGCTACCCAGTACACTAGGCTTTATGTGGTGCTAAATATATCAAAATGTTTATTGCCTTATATTCTGGTGCACTATTAACACCAAAAATATGATCGAAATTTACAAGTGCGTATTATATGCAGGATATAAAATTGATAGATTAAAAATATGGAAAAAATCAGTATACAAAAGTTACATTTTTATGCGTACTTAGGCTATTTATTTAAAAGTAATGACATACCTTTCGAACTTAAAAAATTTTCATTATCAGATAACATGAAAAGTTTGTCATGTTCGTCTTCCATTATATCTTCAGGCACATCGTCGATTTCTGTTTCATCTTCACCATCACTGTTACTCTGATCCATAAATAAATAATCATCATCTGTTCCATCTTTCACCACAAACATCCTTCCTGCAGAACAATTTCCATTTTCTTTCACAAACTGAATGACTTTCCATTTGAAACCAGCACTGCATTGTTTTGTTTGACAGTAACCCTATTTATTACTAAAAGGAACACTAGACCAACTGTATTTCAACTAAAACCTTTGATGTTCACTTCAAAATCATGGCTTCAAATGTCTACAGAAAGAAAACATCTGAATCCTAATCCGTCGAATTCTTTCCAGTTGGAAGTGCATTCTTACTCCAAATTATTCCCTTTTCTCAAAACCCTACAATAGTATTCTTCTGGACACTTGCACTGAATACAGTCCATCCTCTTTGCACGAATATTTACTCAAGCATTTAACCCACACACATATTATTCCTCTTATCACCTGTCAATTTGGTATATAATTGTTCGAAAGGCTAGGACAAATCTTCGAATAAGTGACCTCAAAAAATAAGAGCATTGCACATGTATCCTTTAAGTTTCTTCATGAAGAATTGGGTGCATGTTATATGGCATTTAAACCTAAAAGTTTAAAAGGTAAAAGTATATTTATGGTTACCCCTTAGCGAACATTGGCGGTACATGGATATCGAGTGTGTGCAATTCTTTGAGTTCTTATTTTGGCTTGTGTAATGGCGATTTTTGAGTCAAAAATCGCTGCTACACAAAGCCAAAATAACAAGGCAAATAATTGCACAAACTCGGTATCCATATACACATCGACCTATTTTCACTTTAAAAAAATTGCAGAATTGCACAAACTTGGCATTGAGCACTCCCTTGACTTTATCCATGTACACATCAACCTATTTTCACTTAAAAAAAAACATCAGAGAATTGCACAAACTAGGCATTGCACACTCCCTTGACTTTGTCCATGTACACATCGAACTGTATTCACTTAAAAATTCAAAGGAGCAGCCAACAAAAAAATATATAATCTCAATAAACTACATTTTAAATCAAACAATGAAATAACATAAAAAAGGAAATTCATCTTTGCACTACACAAAGGAAATATCCACTTACCTTATTTACGATTTAACAAGTCTTCAGTCAAACAAAATTCCTTAACAGCATCCAAAAACTTCCTAAAATTATCTGAACTAGAATCTGTATACTGGCGTCGGCACATAAATTCACAGAATAAGAGTCAAAAATATCCTCTACAACGCCGTATCATCCAACCATATCCATTTCCTTCCTACAAACAGGACACTTGATAATGGCTACTGTGTAAACCTTAATTTACACACCAGTCAAGTAATGCTCTTTTCTCCTTTCTTTCCATATCACACAGAAACTTCAAATTAATCTTATCACATTCAGCCATTTTACCATCTAAACCAGAAAACAAGCAATGTACTTCCTAAACAACTCACATGACAAGCCCTTACAAATTCACAGCAATCATGCAACCGATTACGTCATAATAGGGTTTCCATAACATTCAACTACTCAGGCTACCATAAATAAACCACCACTTGGTGATAAATGAAGTAACAACTTCGCGATAATACAAGGGGTGCTCTTCTATCTACTCTAATTGTTAAAAAATATAGCTTGAAATTATAGATCAATATAAATATGCCAGAAAATATGGTATTTACATAGTTAGTTAGAATTAAACATACATAACTTACATAGTTGTTAGAATTAAACTGTGTGCCCAAGAAACATTCCAACCCAAAGTGAAAAAATATGTGTGCCTGCCACTGTCTCTAAATTCATTTCAAAGCATATAAACTCATAAAATCAGTCAGTCTATTTTGAAAGGAAACTGAAAGCCTTTATCATTTTATACAGAAACATTCTACTTAACAGGAATTTAATATGAGCAATAACCAGTTAACACAATTGCATGAAATGATACTATTTCCCACTTTTCATATGATGTGAAAAAGAAAGAAAGAAACGAAAGGAAGAAAAAAAAATCTTTAAAATGATTTTTAACATCACACAAATTTTTTGTTACTAATCTGCTGCAAAGTTGTTTTTTTTAAATCCCCAATATGGTTAAAACATGTAAATAAGATAAATACAACATTGACGAAACTCTGTGGAAGCATTGACATTATAAGGATCTATTTTTCAGTACTTTCTGATTATTTATACCCCCACTGAAAAGTGATAAACCTTGTTAGCAACTCTGTAGAACATTTGTGAACTCATTGGCAACTTTGGAGAGAAGCAAAAGAACATTTGTTTATGTAGCATTTTTATGTCTTATTTCAATGATGCATCTCGTGCTGTCTGTTTTTTTTTTTTTTTTTTAAACCCATTTATTAAAAATGAAACACTGAGCTTTTTCTTTTCGAAGAAATTGTGTTTTATTATTATTATTATTATTTTGTGCTCTTCTGCTGCTTATGTACAAAGTAACCTGTGTTTGCAAATAATAATAATAATAATGTCAAAGGATTGCACAAACTTATTTTTGCATATCAGCTATGATAACGGTATCTGAAGAATAGTTTAAACTTCAGCGCGTACTACAACATAATGAAAATAAAGAAGGCAAACTTCTCAGTTCATTATTATTTGTTAAAACGATAACAAATGTGCTCAATGCAGTAAGAAATACTAGCATTAAAAACGACCATTGAATAGTGCAAATCTGTGTGTACTCAAAGACACATTTGTTACACACATACCTGGATTGTAATATAAATACTTTTTATTGATATCATATGTAGCTATATGGATATTTTTGGCAACATGGTGTGTTGCCTCGTTAACCCTTTCCTGATAGGAGCTTAAGTCATCCAGTTGCTAACAGCACACTAACAGGATGCACTGTGTTGTTGGGACAAGCAATTTACAAGCATCTGCGCAAGTGCAGAATACGTTTTCGCGTGAGCGTTTAATGTATGACGGACGGTATAAGCTAAAATTATCTAATTATCTATTTCAGTTAATGTGGATAATTGCGTTGTATTAACTTATCTTCAAATTGGATCCGGCTTATTATTTTTTGCAGACTGTAAGAGCAATTTTCTAAAAGTAAGCTTGAACTTTCGATTATGTCAAATAGAATTTCCGATGCTGGAGCTCCCAAAGGATCTAGAAAACGAAAGTATGTTTCGATGTCCATCAAACAAAAAACGAATTGCTACAAAAAATGAATAAAAGCGTATCCTTTGTTTATCTAACCGTTCCGAAATCTGTTTTCAATTTCACGCTGCTGCTCCCGCGGGGGGGGGGGGGGCACGTCGCGGCGCGCAATGAACTGGAAGTTGATCTGTCAACACTATCGTTATCTTCAGGGCAGATGTTTTTATTTTAGTCGGCTTATAATTCCTTACTAAATGTAGTATTTAATTTCGATGTACTCCGTCTTTTGATATGATTTAAATCAAATTCCTCGTCATTATAAATATCACGAATACAAATCACATAGTTTTCTGGTTGCAATTTTCTAATTTCGGCTACGGCTATGAGTAAGGTATGCTTTACGCATCCGCGCGTTAAAAAGAAATGTTTAATAAAGTAAACAAATAAATATTAGGCTTCTTTTTTGGTAAATTTGGATACCCTTTAGATCATAATTGCTCATTATTTTATAAATTACGGTTTCATATTTTTAGTTTTATAATTTCTGCATGCCATCTTACCAGATTTAAACTGATGATCTATAATCCGGAAAAATCGATAATCCGGAATCGCCGAAAGTCCCGACGAGTCCGGATTAAAGACTTTGACTGTACTCATATAGTTATCAGAATTAATTTGAAAACTTTATCATCATATTTCCCTTGCCATCTGAAGTATAAAAAATGTTCATTAAACAATATGCAAAATGTTCATCTCATGCTATCCAAACCCTAAGAAGTATTAATAAAACCTCCAAAACACTAGGATGTAGATCCCTATATTAAAAAAAAAGTAACAAAAAGAATTCAGAAAAAATGGAATGATCCCCTTGTGTTTATATCAGCTGACACAATTAATAGCCAGCTCTATTTATTTTCATTAATGAACCCATGATTTCTGTTTTGGTTCCAAAATAAAAAATACTGCAACAGAATGAAGGTCAATATTCTCCAATCATGATAAATTCCACTATAGTAAACATAGGGCTACATCTAGTGGCCAAAAAATAAACTATTTAAATGTTCTATCTAAAAATTCATATGTGGTGTGCGCATCCTAACAGACAGTTTAAGTGGCAAATCCATATATGACACACCTGGC